CCTGCGTGGAGTCTCCATGTTCTCCCCATGCAGCGTGGGTTCTCTCCGGGTTCTCCGGCTTCCTCCCACAGTCCACAAACATGCTGAGGTTAATTGGTGATTCTAAATTGTCCGTAGGTGTGAATGTGAGTGTGCTTGGTTGTCTGTCTCTAAGTGTAGCCCTGTGATAGACTGGTTACCTGTCCAGGTGAACCTACCTTCACCCTGAGTCAGCTGGGATAGACTCCAGCCCCCCATGACCCTAGTGAGGATTAAGGTGTAGAGATGATGGATGGACACTTGATTCGGCTCATTATTCCAAATAAAATGAATCAGAAAACGGATGAGAAGTAGCTGCTTTGATTTCGTTTTACTGCGGCGGGCGTCAGAAACTGTTTCATTCTGGTCTTTTAATTAAAGTGAGTGACGTCTTTAATGTGATGCTGCCACGCTGCGGTGCTGACGGTAGGAACAGCATGCACGCTGGTGTCTTTGTGCCCAAACGCTTCAATCACACATCATAACAGCCGGATGCTACTGTTAGTATTGTAGAGAGAAAATTTCACAAATCTCGTGTCTTTCTAAGAGGAACTAAACTTCCTCCAGCTCTCTGGTGGTCTGCCCTCTGACTGCACATCCATCAGCATCTAAAGTTCACCTCAGCGTCATAGCTGCAAACTCGTCATCTGATCGTGAGATTTGCTGTTTGTCCTGTAAAATACGACGTCCTCAGGACTACCAGAGGACTAAGACACACACATATGGACTTTGGTGTTCGACTGAGCTACAGAACAATAACTTGTCCAGGTCGAGCAGCGAACCTTTAAAAGCAGCAAAGCCTGGTTTGTAATCATATTAATGTTTCATGGGACGTGAGCGGTTCACTTCTGAGTGCAATGGAGCTGACTGAGTGGTGGAAATATGTGGACAAAATAAAAAATATGAGAAGCTGCGTATTGCGTGTGCGTTGTTTGTGTTGGATTTTAACATCTCAACGAAGCTGCAGGCGGCAAGTTTTCTATTTAGGTTTTGCACACAACAGATTTCTATCACCTACTTTTAAAAATGACAGTGCTAACCTTTTGCAACTCAAATTGTCTTTTAATAGGCTTTTAAAATAAAGTAATGTACTTTTTTTCTTGCTGGTGGACAAAATAAAGTATAAATAGACAGAAAGTAAGTCCAGTGCAGATACAATCAAACTCTAAATATAACTTAAAATCAGTCGAAGGCTCAAAATAACACAAGTTTTATTTTAAATGTGAATTTGTGCTCTGCAGATAATCCAACAGTTGGTTCCTGGAAACAATTAAATGCACAAAAAAGAAATCGCTGGTATCTTGTTTTTCTTATTTGTCACGTCTGTGCTGAGCAAGAAGCGAAAGAGGAATAATTGGAAACAAGACGGCAGCGTGAGGGTATGATTTCTTCTTTTTATTTTCATTATAATGTCACCTTTGTGCTACAAAATAATGAACAACACACCCAGTATAGCCAAAAGTTTAATTTGACCACGGTCACGGGCAGCTGTCAGCACACCTGGACGCCTCTGGAGGTCTGATTCTTATGAAAAAGAGAAATATGAAGGAAAAAGGAAAAGAGAAGTCGGATGCATGAACATTTTTTTTCCTGACTAAATTTCCTCCAAACCTATTTTTGTCTTGGAGTAATTGCCAGAGTTAAAGGTCACTGTTAAAGTCATTATACTAATGAGCCCTACACTTTTTTTTTTTAACCGTTATTAGATCACCTCAGAAGACCGAGAGCACAAAAGGTGGACAAAGATACAAGAAGGAAGTGACAGGCCCGAAGCAGGAAGTGTCACCGAGGCTCTCCGTGGGCTCAATTACCGCTCAATTGAAGAGCAGCAGAAGGACCCCAATTAGCGCTTTAACTTGACACTCGTGTTTGTCGGCGGAGCTTCGGGCTGAAAACTCGGAGCGAGGACTCTAATGGCTCCACTTGAATTCAGAGTTTTTCTACTGAGCAGAAGCTCTGGGAGGATAACGACGTGGAGACGTGGCGGAGGACACCTCGCTGCTCCCCCACATCCTCCTCTGCAGACAACAGGAAACACAAACACCCAGCGCTGTCATGAGCTCGTGTTTGGCTCCCAGTTTTATCATCTTCCTTGTTTTTTTGTGCCTTCCTTTGCTATAATCCCCTCATAAATGCTCTAAAAAGCGGTGATGATGCCGTGACGGCCTCTTTATGCGCTGATTAAACTTTTATTGGTCACAACTGTCTCGCGTGGCAACGAGTCATCAACGGGAAGATGTATTTCGACTACATGCAAGTTCCAAGTCAGTGATTTACACCCACAGCAGCTGGTTGTGCAGCTCTGAAGCTCACTGGAGTCACCTGCTGGCCAGAGGAGAAACCAGTCTGAGAGAAAAACATCAAGGGAGTGACGTCATCTTCCACAGAGGATTGAGAAACTCTGCAAGACTACAAAGCCAGAATATGACGCTTCAAAACGGCTCCAAACTGAGTCGAGCAGAACCTGACTTTCTGGCATTTGTTATATAAAAATGATTATGGATATTATTTTTTATTTTTTTAAAACAAATTTCACTCTGGCAGACACACATGCTGCTGTAGGACAGTTTTAAACATGTTGACATGTCACAGATGGAAAATCCATCCATTCATCCATCATCTCTACACCTTAATCCTCACTAGGGTCGTGGGGGGCTGGAGTCTATCCCAGCTGACTCAGGGTGAAGGCAGGTTCACCTCGACAGGTAACCAGTCTATCACACGGCTACACTCAGAGACAGACAACCAAGCACACTCACCTTCACAACTACGTACAATTTAGAATCACCAATTAACCTCAGCATGTTTCTGGACTGTGGGAGGAAGCCGGAGAACCCGGAGAGAAGCCACGCTGCATGGGGAGAACATGGAGACTCCACACAGAAAGATCCCGGGTGTCCTCACCGGGACGCCAACCAGCAACCTTCCAGCTGTAAGGTGATGGTGCTAACCACCAAGCCACCTTGCATTCATTATATGATGGATTATTATATGAATTATATACAATTCTAGCAACTAATTTTATCATACACGTGTAGTGGAATATCGAGCAGCTGCAGAAAATGGAAATATTCAAGAAAATGCGACTTTGAGGCTCTTGTTTACTTGAGTATTTCCATTTTCTGTCACTAGATGTCCATCGTCTTTGTCAGACCTGGCAACGTTTGGTCGGGACGATAAAGAGAGAACTCTGTCAGCATTGCACTGGACTTTCGTAATTAATTAAGGTTTTAATAGGGGGGAAAAAAAGCTTGAATCAATTCCACATACCACAGCATTTTGAGTTCAGTATAGTTTGTCGTGTTTGAACAGAGCTGGACCTAACTGTTGATACGAGCCATCCAGTCCTCAGGCAACCAAAGTAAGAGCTGAGTTTGTGTCTTCGGCACAAAGTCAAACACGTCTCCGGTCGGTGTCGGACTCTGCCAGTTTGCCTCTGGTCTCTGATCTTGTTTGTGGTTTTCATGGACAGGATCTCGGGGCACACTGGAGTGAAGAAGGTTTAAGAAGCTCAGATTCTCTGCTTTTTTGCAGATGATGTGGTTCTGTTAGCTTCAGCAGACTGTGATGTTTACTGGGTGTGAAGAGACCAGGACGACGATCAGAACCTCTGAGGCTGAGGTTTTGGTTCTCCTCTGGAAACTGGTGGGTTGGAGGAGAGCTGCTGCCCCAAGTGAAGGAGGTCTGAGGATGTTGCTCACAAATGACAGGAGAACGGAGAGCGAGTTGGACGGACTGATTGTGAGCGTCGTATCAGAGAGTTATGGTAAAGAGGGAGCTGAGCCGGAAGGCAGAACTCTCAATTTACTAATCGATCTGGATCCCAGCCCTCATCTACAGTCATTAGATCTGAGTAGTGACCGAAGGAATGAGATTACAGATAGAAGCAGCCAGACTAGGTTTTCTCTGCAGGATGCTCTGTAATAACTCAGAGTACAAACACAGCCAAGTTCTAACGGTGGTGTCACAAAAAAAGTTTTACAGAATACAGAATAAAAACTGGAAAAGCTGAAACTGATTCTGAGCCAAAAACAAGTAAACAGCTGATACTGTAAAAACTAATGGTGTGGACTGAACACAACAGTTAACACAACACAACACAAACAAGACATAAAACGACACAAACAAAGCAAAATGACACACACAAGACACAAAAATACACAAACAACACACAAAACAACACATATAAGACATAAAACAACACAATTGAGTCACAAAACAAACCAGACGAGACGGGTCCTTATTTTCCAAACACATCTTGTACTTCAGTATAAAAGCCTTGGCAGGACCAGACTCTATGAACTGTTCTGGACTCTGAACGCTGCAGCACTGATCCATGTTTAAAGACTTCAACATATCGATGGAGTCCAGCTGACAGAATCCTGTCTGCATCGTCTATGAGCGCCGTCCAGCTGCCAGGTCTAATGAAGAGACCTCGTCTTTATTAAGGCTCTGATTGGACTCTCATTACATCCAGGACTCCACTTCCTACCTCTAATTAGTCAGAACTGTCCTGGTTCCACCTCTGACAGACCTGTCTCTCTGTAAAGGCCACCAGAGGACCGACACACTCACACGTCTCTGTTTAACTCACACCCAGTCTGGTTTAAGGTAATGAGCCTTCATGCTGCAGCTCATCGGCATGCTGAGGGGAACCGGTTCGGTTCCAGCAGTCTGGATCGAGTGGACTACATTCTACTCTCTCAAGGACATCACATTAGTATCGACCGTCCTCGAATCCGCCTATTAGGAGCACCAGAGAGCAGTCTGCTTTAATCAGAACAGATGGATGTTCAGCTGCATCATAAACGTCATTTGTTATGTTTCCTGCATGTGTGGAGGAGCTGCATCCCTCATAGAAGACTACATCTCCCAGAATGCATCAGGGGGGGCTTGACCATGTGTTGTGTGACTGCCACCGGACGGCTGTCGGTAGAAAGTGCAGGGAAACGGTGAGCGGAGCATGCAGGCAGCTCATCCCGGACCGGCAGCAGACATGTAAGGAGGAGCTGGACCGGAGGAGATGAGCCTCGGCTGTCACCGTCGCCACCATGTTCCCGGGAGTCTTCTATGCACTGCTAGCGGGTTTCCTCGGCGCCGTGGCGTCGTCCTCGGCCAAGCTGTCCCTCGGAGCCGACTACCTGAAGGGAGTCTGTGAAACCGGACTCCGGACGTGGGGCGAGCAGCGGAAATTCAGACAGGCGGACGAAACCACCGCGTGCGACCGGGTGAGGCACCGCCGCAGTTAAAGTTAATAATTAACGGCGGCTGTGAATAGCGCAGCCCGCCCGGTGGCTTCTCACGGAGGAAGTTGGGGGGTTATCCCCGCCTCCCCCCTCCCCTCCTCCGCCTCCTCCTCCTCTGACTCCCTCAGCATCAGCACCAGCAGCAGCTTCATCACACGGGGGAGCGCGTGCGGCAGCGGCGCTCTCGTGCCGTGTCCGCGTGATGAAGGACACTGCAGCTCGTGCCGGCGTGAGGTATCGCGCTATTTGGTAAGGAGTCGTTGTTGACAGGGAGGGAGGAAGGAAGGAAGGGGGTCAGGGGGGGCTTCTGGTGTGACCTTCACGTTGTCCGCACACGTCACGGTGACGTCAGAAACATCTGCACGCAGCTGGTGACCTCATGTGTGAAGGAGCCAATGAGGATCGCGGGTGGATGTGAAGTGTATGCAAAGAATGCGGATGTGCTGCATGAGTCACATCAGACTGGATGTGGGCCTCCAGACACCAGGACTCATGTCCTGCTCTCCAACGTTAACATGTTTGGTTTTGGAGGCAGCAGCTTCTGGTGACGCTGCAGCGACTTGCTTCATACTGAGTGTTGTGACATTTCTGCATAGAGTTAGTTAGTTGTTAAGAGTGGTACAACTTTTATATGACAATATAAAAGCACATCTAGTCCAGTAGTAGTCTGACTATGTTACAGGCTACTTGTTATTGCATTCCTGTGATCGTTAACTGTTATAAAGACACTGATCATGTGTAGTTATCAGACACAGTGCCTATGAAAAGTACCCCACGACGTATTGGCAGCATTGCATCACGGTCAGTTTAACCCCCGAAAGAGACTCTCTCATGTCAAAGTCAAAACAGATTCCCACAAAGTGATGTCACTTAGTTAAAAATATAAAATGTAAAATCAGTAACTGCAGAAGTTTTTGCCTCTTTCAAGTCAGTATTTAACAGCTTTAGTTGTGGCTGACAGGTCTCAGTCAGCCCTGCACATCTGGACGCTGCAATTTTATCCCATTTCTCTTTGCAAACCTGCGCGAGCTATGTCTGGTTCCACAGGGATCATGAGTAACGGCCTGACTCGGTCCAACTCGACCACTCCAGAACATTCAGCTTGTCTTCTTTAAACCATTTCTGTGTTCTGGCTGTGTGCTTCAGGTCATCGTCTTGCTGGAAAACAAATCCTGCAGACTACATCAGGTTGTCCTCCAGGACTTCCCAGTACTTTGCTGCATTTATTTTACGCTCTACCTTCACAAGCCTTCCAGGACCTGCTGCTGAGAAGCATCCGAACATCATGATGCTGCCACCACCGTGCTTCACAGTGGGAATGGTGTGTTTTGATGATCTAGTCACACCAAACTACGAAGCTCAGTGGACCAACTAATCTTCTCCTTGTTGAATTCATTGAATTCAGAGTCTCCTACATGCCTTCTGGTGAACTCCAGTTTAGATTTAATACGATTTTTTTTCCAACAGCGTCTTTGTTTTTCCCACTTGCCTGAAAAGCTTTTACCAGCGAAGAACAGGAAACAGTTGTTGTTGCACAGTCTCTCTCACCTCAGTCATTCAAGCTCCTTCAGAGGAGTCATAGGAGTCTTGGTGGCCTCCCTCACTACTCAGACAGTTCTATCAATCCAAAGCTGACTGTGGTCATCTACAGAGCTGCAGCAGATCAGATACTACACAATAGAACTCCTTCACAAATCTATTGTACTCTCTGTGTGGCTCCAGCGCTGCTGCTTCGTTGTCTTTTTTCCACCACTTCATTAATGGCTGCAAGATATTCAGGTCGGACGTCTGCAGAAGCTCCGTTTTCTTAATGAATCACTTGTGCAGGTGCACATGTTGGGTAGATGCCTGCAAAATGCTGTGAGTCAACATTTTCACAGCTAACACGAGCTCCGTCTGCTCTGGTTTCCAGCTCCACATCCCTCTGAGGCTGCTGTGTGGCGGGCTGCTCTTCACCTGCAACGCTGTGATGTGGACTTTCCTCGCCAAAGCACTCAGGTATTCCTCGTCCTCCACCCGAACCACTGTGACCACCACTGCCTCCAACTTCATATCTTCCGTAAGTAGCAGTCTCTCTTGGTCTTTTTTATTTAAAGTCTTTGTACTCTACAGCAGACTGCAGAGGCTGAGCATAATTTCAGAGTGACCTTACGTCCTTCGTTCCTTATATAAGATGATTTATTTTAGAAACCAGGTTGGACTATATTCAGAAATAACCTGTTGCAGTGTTTTGACTTCTTCCTGTTTGAACTGTTTCCCATCCAGGCGTCTTTAATGGCTCTTAGTTCGTTTTGCAGCTTGAATCCTAAGGAGAAACTGATTATTTTTCCCCCTCTGTGCAGGCTTTCCTGGGCCAGCTGATCTTTGGGGAGGCCCAGATAACGTTGTGGTGGGTCGGGATCTCTCTGACCTTCTCTGGTCTGCTGGTACTGCAGAGGGTCTCACCACAGGATGGGCAACAGAACGCCGTCGCCAAGAAGGACGAATAATATGTGTGGTCTCCACTAGCTGGCCGTGGTGTGTGTTGTGTGTCAGCAAACATCTCCTCTGATTTTACATCGAGGTAAAGCAGAGTGGAGTCTAAGGAACAGGAAGGGTATTTAATGTGTTTTTGTTGTTTAGCTCCAGTACAGGTACTTAATTATTAATGTCACAGCTAAATAACAGGAGGAATTTGTTGTTCTCTTCCAGTATTGTAAAGAAATGATGCCCCATTTAACTAAATCCCAGCCGGATTGTCTTCCCCTGATAAGGAGGAGCTGCTCCATTCAGAGACAGTGTTTATCCTCCAGGTTGCAGCTCGTGGCCATGCGGGCTGTAAAACCCTGCTGGCTCAGCTGCAGCCTTGTTCGGTCCTGTTCTAAAATCAGAGGAGATGTTGGCTTCCAGCCAGTCTGGCCGCGGCACAGCGACAGCGTGGCTGGTGGAGACAGGCTGAAGGACGCCTGGGTCCAGCCTCCCAGGAGCTCTACACTCATCCACAGGCTTACAACCAAGCAAAAACGACGCTAGCTTTACTTTTGGGAAACGAGTCAACAACGACGACGACACAACAACTCACGAGCTAACAGAGAAATGCTAAGAAAGCAAGGGGGTGTGAAAAAATAGTTTCACATTTTGGGAAATAGGCACATTTAGCTTCTTGTTGAGAGTTAGATGAGAAGATTGAGATCAGTGTCATGTCTGCCAGTTAGCTTAGCTTAGCATAAAGACTGGACATGGGTGGGCGTTACAACCCTGGTTCTGTGTAACGTTAACAGAATCCCCTTTGATGCACCTCTAGAGTTTATTGAATAATGTCGTTTGTTTAGTCTGTCCAAAAGAAGAAGCTGTAGAAATGGTTTTCTGGGAGATGTGGGGGTTTTACTGGCCTCGAGACGGGACTGTCCCGACCATCCTGAACAAACCACTCGTTGTTTTTCTCTTTGAGACAAACACGAGGTGCTTTCTGATCCCTCCGATCTCCAGTCTCTTAGCTAAGCACTGATACTTCCTGCTAACTTTATGAACAGGATGTGAATCTTTTTTCATCTGACTCTCACAGTTGTCTAGAAGTGAAACTATTCCTTGAAAGGAAGCCAGATTATACAACACGTGTAATTTGGGAGCTTGTGTGCGTAATGACTGATCTGAGGTCGATCTCGAAGTGTTGTGACGCCACTATTAATCAGCCTGTGCATTATATTCTGCTTCCCCCAAAGCTTTCTTGATTTCCACATGTACTGAAGCTACTATGACACTCACTGTAAACATCCTACACTGACGTTGCATTGTATGCATGCTGGAGGCGATGTTTTAACCGAAGCACTTAGCTAACCAAGTGTACTCACGTTTTCACGAGTAATAATCCTTCTGATGTAGCGCTGAAAGGCCCGTACCTGGTACGCGTTCGCTCTCTGCCTGGGTTTGACTTTTTGTTTGCCTTTTCTCCGGAACCTTAACCTCACCACATGACGCATACTTTGATTCAGAGGCAGCTGATCTTCCATTTCATGACGTGCATGTTCCCACCAAGGCCTGAACTCGGATAAATCACACCAAAGCATCCTGGAGCGTCGGTCCACGTCAGACCCTGTGAACCGATTCGTTAGTCTCCGGCGGTCTCTCCGGCGTCCCGCCGTCTCGTGATGTTGAGCTTTACGTGCCACGCATTTGCAATCTCATATTATTCTGTTGCGCGTCACGAATAATAACCCATCGCTCGCCACTCCTTGGGGCTCTGCAGATGCCTGGCTTTGTCGCAAACTTCCCTCGACACCCCTGGATTTGTCAGCGAGGTTGCAATAACGTTATAACACTGTGATGTGTGGAACAGACGGGGAGCTGTCGAGAAACGAGGACACAACATGTCAGTACATGAGAAGGATGTTCCTGTTAGTATAAATCAGTTCCAGGTGTTGGCCTGAGCATGGCATCGATGGCTGCTTTACTGGACAGTGTTTGAACACTTTGCTGTTGTCTGGATACATATCATGTTATAAATGCATAACGGTAGCTATGATACCTGTCTGTAACATCCTACAGCAGCAACGCACAAATATATCAGATGTCTTTCCAACTGCTGCCGTGCAGGTTTTGTATCATGTGATTTACATGCATCCCTATTAATGTGACTGCAGTGACAATGTGATGATGACGTACTATAAGCTGTCACGCTAAAGGCCGCTGAGCCACGTTTCATAGCGGGGCTGTGCTCGCAGCAGCATCACACTGGAGTTAGTCATCTGTGCCTCCACGTTCCGGCGTCCTGGGTGTGTTGCATAAAGAACAGTGACGTATTTTGAGGAAATTATAGCTTCACTTTTTTGTCAAGAGTAATACCACTCATAGCTGGTTAGCTTAGCTTAGCATAAATGCTGGAAACAGCTGGCTTGACTCTGTCTAAAGGTGAAAAAATCTACCAACCAGCATCTCTAAAGCTGCTTATCACATCGTGTGTCATTGTGATGTTGCTTAATCTGTTTTTTAAAAATTGTAAAAGTTTGTGGAAATCAAGAGCAGCACAACTCATGAGCTAACAGAACAGGTCTGACCAAATAAAGAGCCTTTTGACATCTAAAATGTTAGGTTTAGGATTTAGATTATGCAATAAAGCAACCCCACAGTTTGTTTTTATATCAGGGAATTAGCTTTTTTTTTTTTTTGACAGTGTTCACCTCCCTGCATACAAATGTCACCATAACTGTAACTACTGTCATGGTTCTGAGGGGACACCATCCCCCTATTCTGGGCTGAGGCTGATCCAGGATGATTGGTTTAAAGAAATACAAACAAGCCAGAGCTTTTCTTCCCCCTTATAGCAGAATAACATGAAGGTGCTGTCAGATCATCCTGCACAGCGTTTGGTCTGGTTAATGCTGGACTATATGGACTTCTACGCTGTGTCCCAGCCCAGTGGTTGTATCCTTGCTCGGTTATTGAAGGCGCAAATGTGGACAACTGATTTAAAGGCAGACTAGAAATGCATCTGTCTTTTCCCGTTTAACGAAGGGTCCGACATGTGGATCCTTAAAGCCCAACCTGTCGCGAGATCCAATGAGGTTTGGATTTTGAAAAGACTCCACAGTTTCATATTTGATAAAACAAAAATATGCCATCACAGTCACTGGCTGCATCTTGTGACTAAAAGATTTAGTTTTTGTCTCGACTGTCGACTTCAGCCGTCGGAGCTGCTGGGCAATAGGAAAGGGTTGAGGCAAGTCCTTCACGGGCCAGACCGTCTTGTTTAACATCAATCTTGGACCTTTATAGTTAGACCCAGTCCAAGGTGACTCCATTTGAAGGCCCCATATTTCAGTTTCCAGGCAACCAGTGGAGACCAGCAAAGACATATTTATGCTCACGAACACTAATAAAACCACAGCTTAAAACATATATACCTGATATTTGAGATGATCCTTCAAACAGAGCCAAGCCAGACGTTTTTACCATTTCCACTTTTTTTATGCTAAGCTAAGCTAACTGGTCGTTGGTTTTACCACCGTACAACCTCGAGCGGTATCATCTTTTAGCTCTTAGCGAGAAAGTGAACTTTTTCCTTTAACCTACCTTTAATATCTCTGCTTGTGATTCTCAACACTTTTCGGTGCCTGGCTTCTCTCCAGTTAACGGCATGATGCGAGGGGAAACCATCGACCTGTGAACCCACTTCCACTGTAACATAAACCAGTCAGAGCTTCTGCAATAGCCACAACCACAGCTCTGTGACAGCAGCATGGCAACCAGCGTGACGTACTTCTGTCTGTGTGCACATAAACTGTAGACGAGGGAGAAAAACACTAGAACGTGAACCTTACCTGACAAGGTGCGCGTCTCATTAACGAGTTAACGTGCTGCAGGAAAATTCATCCAATTCGATCGCTAGAAGAGAACAGTCTTTGTTCAGCGTTAAAGAGTCTGAATAATAGATAAGAGGAGCTGAGCACTAATTGAAAACAGACGGATTTTGCATTAGTTTGTTGTCCTCCTACTCTTAAACTGTGCAGCTCAGTCATCAGTTTCATCTGACGGCTGCTGCACTGATGAATTTTTCCATCATGTTCGATTTTTTCTAACATGAATCGAGACAGTTTGATTAGACTCTCTTTGCTCTGGAATGAATAATTCATGAAGATGTTCTACAGATTGTGTGAAACAAACATTTGTAAAAGTGTAAATATGTTCTGTTAATAGGAAACACTGGAGAAGATGTGTAGGATCTCCGACGAGAGAGGAAACACTGTTAAATTATTAAATAAACATCTCATCTGAC